AAAAGTGTTTTATTTAAATTAGTAACTAATATATCGCGTTTTAAACCGTAAAAGTGTTTTATTTAAATTAGTAACTAATATATCGCGTTTTAAACCGTTAAAGTGTTTTATTTAAATACGTTAACTTATAAATTTCTCTTATAGTTTATTCCATAACATTTTGGTAACATACTATTCCATTCGAATATTATACCACTTACCCGTGTAAAATAATTCTCAAACTACCCCACTAAGGAAATGAAACGATATTTTCACACCTACGTACAAAACTCCCACCGTTATTTCCATTTACGAAACAATAATCATAAATTAAACAAGATAAACCTTAATCAAACGTCCCTTGTGTTCTGTTCCCGCGTTTATTGCCTAACAATAGTTCTGATTTACGATTTAGAGTGGCGAGAAGTCGCGACTGCTTATATTATTTCCACGGCCATAGTCGGTCTGTTATTAATCTAAACTTACGAATACCATTATTGCCTCCTCCCATCCTGCCGTCTCGATATTGATTTCATTTCCGAGCCGAAATCAAATCGTAAACTTTGATTTAACGAAGTTAATTGTAGTTTATACTGTACTAGCTGTGTCAGCGACTTTGTCCGCGTAGAATCGTTATTTTGGGCACCCAAATTTGTTTTTGCAAACCTCCTCTTCATCTTTATAAATTTAAGACTGCCCAAGACGTCGGTTGTGTCACGTCGTCCTTGCAAATTAATCTTAAAAGATAGACATACAATATCGTGGACATTTTTTTTATTATATAAAGAGGAATCATTCTTTTATACATATTTTTGAACCTTTTTCGCAGCGTACGCATCGGAAACCTACAGAGATAAATTTCATTTTTCCCGTTCTTTCGCATTTCCCGCTATTTCTTTGCCCCTATTAGTCACAGCGATGTTATACAGCTTTCCTCGATAAATCTCCAAGACTACAGTTTGTTTCCCAATAACCTGGTTTGGTTTGGTTCAGTCGGTCTTGTCTGGTCTTCACAAAGTTTCAAGTCAAGTTTAATTACCTTTAGTCTTTACTATTTTTAAAGTTTATTTGAATCCTAAAAAAGTATTAGAATTGGAAATTATTGAATAATATAGCATAGTAAAGTCAACAGTTTTACGAAATGTAGATTCGAAAAAAACTGACTATTGTCGTTTTCCATGGAAGTACTGTTTCTTAATAAAATTTATGATTTATAAGCTTAATTTCTAAAATAATAGAATAATTTATCTTTTATATTTTAAATTGTAACTATAGTTTTAGAAAAAAGAATAAGTAAAAAAATTATTAAGTTAGACTCGAAAGTAATGGAAATGATGGAATTAAAATAATTCCGTATATACTTTCCTTGCTTTCTCATGCTCGTCAAAGTGCCGCCGAAAAATAAGTTAAAAAAATTCGAAATCGAGTATACCGCCCTAGGGACAAATAGTTAATGTTATGATTTCGGCGAATTGTTTTAGATTTCAAAACCCGCCTACTTTTCAAAACAAATAGAATACAAACTGCCACATTATCAAAGTCGAGTTAAAATTTCTACTCAGTTGATTTTAATATGTTTTTTATTCGCTATGTTTATGGTATTAGTCTAATCATAGTCTTTTTCATATTCTTTGATACAGTTTTTTCATTCATAGAATTCCTAAGTACACCGAACTTTACACCTAACTACTTAGTGAAATAGCTAAGTCCTACTGCAAACGCAAAGTCTTGCAGTATGTCTTGTTCTTGCACAAGTCTTGCACGTAGTTTGGTTTGGTTTGCTAAAAATACGGGTCTGTTCTTGGTCTTGGTCTTGCAAAAACAAAACAAACCAAACTCAAGACAAGATGAATTTGGGCAACACTAACTCTAACCAACGCAAAAATATTTTTTTCACTTCCCACCAGGAGTTCCTGTGATTAGCGCCTTCAAACAAACAAACTCTTTAGCTTTATATATAGAATCTTAAACTAGGATTTAATGAATATTAGTTTATATTGTTCAGTTTATGTGATAGTCGCTTCGAAACTTTGATCTAGAAACCTATATTGCTCTGACATCTGACATCTGGTGGTAATAGTAATAAACTTATTTAAGATTTAAATAAAACATCTTAACTTTAATTTATTTAAAACTTATTGAAAATTATTTTTATTAACCTCTATAACGATCAGTTTAACTAATAATATTGTTTAAACGTTAAAGTGTTTTATTTAAATTTTTACTACTCGCGTTGACTACAGACAGACTATTTAGTAAAAATGTTTGGTGAAAATGTGATTTATATATCTTTTAGCTCTACAGTGCTAAGGAAGGGAGAGTTCTTAGTAACAGGGCTGTATTTGAATAAAGGAATAATTTATGTCTAGTCCATTGAAAGTGGAACTATCTATTTTTGGTACGCTATGGATACTCGCGCTAAGTTTTCTCTGTCACACAGTACGATGACACTCTAAATGTTTTTTTAATAAGTCTATTTTTTTAACGGTTTCAAACGCGAAATATATTAGTAAAAGAAGATAAAATTATTTTAAAATGAAGTGTTTTTTTTTTACTTTAACTACGACCCGTAGTTTGGCATGCTTTGTATCAGTCATGGTCACGGGGGGACTAGAGGTGGGAGATGTCCCTAATGCCAAAGTCTAATCTACTACTTTGAGTCGTAGTTAAAATGAACGAAGAGTTGATTAACTAAAATATAAGTAAAATTATGTATTCCGCGTTTGAAATCGTTAAAATTGTTTTATTCAAGCGTATACGTTAGCGTATAGACAATAATTAGGAGTAAATATTGATAGACCTACCTAAAGAATTTTAAATTGTGCTTCTTATTTCCCTTTAAAAAGCTATACATAAAAATATCCCAACAAATGTAGTCAACACGCGTACGCTACGTTCTAAATATGTTCACAGTACCATTAATATTTATTCCCACTTAATATTTATTTACCCAATCAACCCACCCGCAGTATGAGCGTCAAGGATGGAATCAACATTTAAATTGGTAACGAGTTTCAAAGAATAAAATTTTGCCGCAAACAAAATAAAAACTAACAACCAAATCGGGTTATTGGCATTGTTGATACAAAGAGCAAAATGGAACAGCTTCATTTATTTTGTTCGTGATCGACAAATATAGGCATAAAACATAATGTCGAGTACTGACCAAATGCTCGCGGTGTAATCGGGCGTTCGTAGTGAACACGCTCGCTGTGTTCGTAAAGCTGAGTACTGACCAAAGTTACGGGATGTAATGTAACATTTTTCTTCACTATATTATTGTAAAAACTTAGCATGTAACAACTTATTATGACTTCACTTTTAAGATTTCAAACAGCAAAACTGTATTTATCATAAATAATTGTTAGATAAGTGGTGTCTGTGGTTTATGCGAGTAGTAAAACGTGGAATGTATTAGGAAACTTATTTACAATTTATTTTAGCCTTACCTTACTGATACAGCCGCACGGGGACACACATTTTGCATTTGTAACCCTAAAGTATTTTATTTGAATAATTGATAAATTAAATTTAATCAAATTAAAAGGAGGAAATATCTCTGTATATAATAACAAAAGAATACGATAGAAATTACGAGTGATCGTTGCCGCGCTCATGATAAACGTAGCATTATGACAGAAAAAAAAATTATCGCGGAACTTCAAAGATTTTTCTGGTATAGTTGATTGGTGCTTTTTCTTTATGAATACGAGTTGTGCACTCGAATGCTCTTAAATTGAATGACTTGAATGGTTTAAAACACGATATGTATTAGTTAAACTTATTTGAAAATTATTTTAACAACGAGCCTGCGTTTCGGATGCTTTGTAGCAGCCGTGGTCACGGCGAAGTTTTGAGGGTTTAAGACGCAAAATGCGGGTTCTCCGTGGCTGCTGCAAAAGATGAAAACGTCGGGCCATGGTTCAATAAAATTTATTAAAGTTTACTAATGTATGTCGCGTTTAAAACCGTTAAAGTGTTTTATTTAAATCTGTACTACTCGTGTAAACTACTCACAGTATTTACTCGAATGCTAGTAACATGTTATGCCACGAGCATTTGGTCTGTACCCAGCTAAAAAGCGTGAAAGTGACCGAATTTTTATTGTTTACATTTCATATTCATTTTAATTACGATTGAGTGAAAGCCTTCATGTTTACTCAACCGTTCAGACGCAGCCACTTTTCAAATTGATATTTTTATAATCAGAACGCACTTAGTTGGATTCATAATTTGATTGGGAAAACGACGTTATTCAATTGTATAATACACTATATTCACCGTCACTTTTGTATATTGTGTATTTTAGGATATAGAATCATTTGGTAGAACAACAGCATGGTACAATATTTGCAGGTTCTAGTCTTACAAGCTACATACATACATATTTTTAACTATTTTAATAGAGTGTTATAATTTATGTTTGGGCTAATAATTCGTACTTCGGGACTAGATTTGGTTGAACTAGGCAATACATATCCAAAACGACCTTCCATGTCCTCTAAGTCCTTTCCACCAATAGCTTAACCCTTCTGCCCGCGCACCTCACTGCAAGCAGTGAAGACAGGCCTAACAGAATTAGGTCAGTTATCGGACACCGCGCGGGTTGTTGACACCGCTTTTAACTAATTACAAGTGTGTGAAGCCTGAAGAACTAATTCTATTTGGTGAGTCCTTATTATCTTCCTTATTTTTATCCTATTGCCTAATTAATTAGTCATTTTGAATGCATAGTAGTTTTACCAATTTTTGAGGGTAGTCGAAACTTTATTGTTCGTATTTTCAAAAAGTTTATATTCTTACCTGCGCATAATCAATTTAAGTTATATCATTTAAATGTGTCATTCTCATGGATTATACTCAAGATATTTAGTTACTCCAGACATTCTTCTACACTAGAACAGAATCATTCATCTACCATTCTTTTTAATATATCATAAGACATATTGATCCATTTCTTGTATCTTACGGACTCTTATAGAGACATACCTGTTTTTAAGTTTTAAATCTTATTTACTTACCGACAACGCGCATAAAAGCACTTTTGTAGACCGTGTGAAAAAATGGGGCGTCCGCAGACACCTCGCAGCGGTACCTTCCGCTGAGGCCCTTTGAAGCCCCTCGCAATACAACTTGCTGGGCTCCGGATCTGGATATCTATAGGAGAAAAAACAATTTTAAATCAAATTGATGTTATAAGTTTAGTTTACGCGTGTGTGGATCGCATTAAAACCATCATTTTTACCCGGTATAAATTCCATTTTCAAATAAGTTTAACTAATACATCGCGTTTTTTACCGTTAAAGAGTTTTATTTAAATTTCAAACCACTTATTTTTTTCCGATTTTTATACCTAAATCAATTGTTTATAAATAAGGAAAAGTAAATTGTTTTCCTCTTTATAAGAAAAATCACTAAATCAATCGAATTTTATAATAAAATAATTATTCAATTATTAGACCATCTTGAATCTTATGAGAGTGTTACATTGTTTTGTAACAATTAAACTTATGTCTTATATAAATTAGTACGTGTTAGTTACTTCAAATAAAAAAAACATTTAACGTACAATTTGGCAAGCTTGTTAGTGTCTTGATAGCAATGCATAGGAATAATCAACGGTTTGTGGATTCGATCCTTACCGGGTCTAACGCGTTTTTAATTTATTTAGAAATTTTATGAAACTTCTGGAAATCTGGATTTTAGATGGGTGGTATGAAAAATTCGCTAAGGATCATGAACCACCGGCCACAGATGAAAAGGCGTGAAGCCGTTATAAACCAAAACTAAAATAGATCGACAATACATCTAATGTAGATGTTGTATGGCTGGAATATTTCACCTATCATCAAATTACAAGCATGCTTGTCAAATCAAAAACAAATCTGAAAAATTTAAATAAACAACGTTTACTTTAATGAAAATTATCAGTATGTCGCGTATATTTACGTCAATAGAATTAAGCTAAGAAGTGCGCGCACTTAACCGCGCACAGCTGGAGTCCAAATTGGTCTGAAAGCTCCAAGCCATCTCACAAGTCTACCGTGAGTGAGCGTCGAACTAAATCATACACATCGTACAGACAGGTTGACCCGATTCGAAGAACCGCATCGCTTAAAACTCACCGTCTTCGAAACTTTGAATATCTTCGAAGGGGATTTTAATGTATTATTTTGGCACAATGTTATTGCGACTTTGGCGAAATGCCAGCTGTTATGGTTTGTGCCTGACGGTTCGCTGTTTCTTAAGTGATTTTTTGTATCGCCCGAAGACAGTTGAATTGGCGAGATATGTGACCTATATTATGGTAGGAGGGCAAGAGATGATTTCTGGGGCTTCAGCGCTCGACTTATATGATTCGAGAGCTGCTAACAATGGTGATCATTTAACTTGTCAATGTTGAAAAATAAAAGTTATGATGTTTTATAATGCCACTGTCTATAAATAAGTTTAAATCGTATTCAAAACAACAGTGTCTTAGAAAGAGTGTTGTAGTTAATTAATATTGAAACGATAAAAAGTTTGTATATATGGATGTTCATTATCATTTCAAGTTTAAATTAGTTTCGATTACTTAGAATCAATATAGCTAACTTCCTATAGTTATAATTGTTAAAGTTATATCGAATAATTAATTGTTTCTCAAGGAAGGGGGATTCTAATAGTATAGACCGTGAGGCGTTTAAAAGGTTTTTAACATTTAAATTTTCAATATAACGATACGGCACATCTTGTTTAGAAGTTTTACAACATCATACATCAAGTGAGTGGATTCCACCTGTTTTTAAACAATTGTCAGGAAATCCTGATATTAAACGGGTGGTATGAATAACGGAATTCATTCGCACCGTTCACAGATACAAAATTCGTGAAGTTTCAGTCTGTGGATTTCCGTATATCCAAAGTCAAAATAACTCGACAGCACATACTGTTTAGATGTATAATTATGTTATATACTAGAGTACTTGATGTATCTAAGCTTTATTTTTCTTATGTATCTGTGGACGCTCAAACCGTTACTAAAAAGGACTATATTATATCATCTTGTTTACCGTATCCAACAGTCTGTGATGCTTGATTTATGCCAAATTTAGCATCATGGGCTCCCCTACTACTATAACATGTTATTCTTATACAGTTGGTGTCGCATCTCCCGAAATTATTGCTAAAGGATCAGCAATAATACCATGATAAAATATTCATCGATGTTTTGTCTAGTTAATATTCTGAACACGAAATAAGCAATTTTTCCTTCATGTTGAGTTACACTTGTAAAGAGTAGAACACAATATGTATATAAAGAAGTTTTACATGTTTCTTGAAATAAGAACATTCCAAATTTAAATTTATGTACTTTTATGTGTATTTCGTGTTGCCGTTTTGCGGGTAGTTATAAGTCCAGATTAAAATCAATTTAATATAATTTTAACTGGCTGATACTGTAAAAAAAGTCAGTTTTAATATTTAAAGCTTTCCTTGTTTTATTTAACGTATACTGGCTTCGAATCCCGTGAAAATTTTAGTCGGCATTAAATAGAACCAAGCAGTGAAGCAAAGACAAAAAACTATCTGCATTATACCCTGTATAGCGAACCAGGATTTAACTTATATGAATGCACATGACATCTACTCGTGAACTCATTTCCCGGTTATGCACTAAATTATACTGACGTTTTTAACACGTGTTCAAAGCTTTAGCGAACTAACTTGAGAAAAGGGCAAAGCCACATTGTTTCCGAGAGCATTAAAAATGGTTTAAAAGGTTTAAAATGCTTTTCGGCAGGCGGGGTCGGGGGGGGGTTTCCCCCCCCCCCCCCCCTCTCCCCCCCCCCCCAAAATTCGGACAAATTTAAAAAAAATTTTTTATAAGTTACTTAGCTATCCTGATAACTTTTCCATTTAATAATAAAGACTTGCATTGTCATTATGTGGATTGGACAAATATTTATGTCCGTTTTACACTTTGATTAGTGACTTCAAAAAACCAATAATAGAAATGAACACAGTTATATGTCACACCCCACAAACCTCCCTTAAACCACACAAAAAGTAAATCTTTTTGTTTTTTATATATAGACATACTCTACTTATATATAAATAAAAAATAGATTTTAGATAGAAAAAAATAACGACACGGGCAGGACTTTGAACCGGCATTCACAGCGTTCCGTGCTGATGCTTTTACCAATTGAGCTACCGTGTCCTACACATTATCGTCAAGTTTTTCCAACTTTTATATTTGCGTATAGATAGGGTAATTTTTTATATATTATCGCTTAATCATTTACAAAAACACAAAATACATGTGAATGAGAAAAGAAAAATCTTACGTACTAACTTATAAATGTAATGTGTGAATACTTACATCAACACTAATACCCGTTTGGGAGAAAACCCGTGTGTTGGGCAGCTCTTTTGGCACGAAACGGAAGAACTCTTGCGCACCATGGTACCATTTGACTGTGTACAGAGCTTCGCCAGTGTCCAGAGCCCAACGACAGCCCAAAGTAGCGCTGGAGCCCACGCCCACCGCTTCGGGCACACTCAACTGGATATCACGGAGACCAAGGACACCTGAGGACATATAATAACTAAATACTACCCACTCTTGTAGGCTAAAATTGTCAATAAACCCCTGGTTATAATTATAAGCAAGCTGTGCCTGCGAGGAATAGTTATTATCGTGGTTATCAAAGACAATTTTTGGTAATAATGTAATACTGTTGATCAACGTCACATTTATTAGCATAATGCATTAATTTCAACCCAATTTGATTACCATAAAAATAGTTCTCGCGAATTAATCTAAAAAAATGGTATACACTGTTGCAGATATTTTTAGATACAAAGAAATCTTTCTTTAATATTTTCTAGGTTTTTTGAACCGTTTTTGGAGTGCATGTTTTCAAAGATGATTAATTTTTCCCCGTTCTTTTTTCAAATTTTCACTGTTTCATTCACTGTTTTGTTTTATTGACTCGGTAGGAATGGAATCCACTATTACTCAAACCAAAAAATCCATTGGTCATTATGCTATCGAATACTAATACAATTTAGTGTCTGCACAAAATACAACATATGCTAAGTTTAATAGCTCGTTTGCTTAATATGTTTACCAGTATCGTCTACTAATATGTTAGAAAACAACAGCTTTGTTTGCTTGCTTTACTTTAGCATCTATAGCATGATATTCAGTTATAGTTCTATGCGTGATATTATAATTACGTTCTTATTAATAAGTATAAAGTTAAATACTGTCTATAGTTTACGCTAGTAGTACACATTTAAATAAAACACTTTAACGGTTTAAAACGCGATATTTAGTTAAACTTATTTGAAAATGATTTTAAACGTCGGGCCGAAGTTAATCATAATCGTATACATATATGCAAACTGTTGTTATTGCAAAGCATCGGAAACGTCAAGTCACGTTTTAAACCGTTAATCGTTGATTATTTAAAAACCAATAGTTGCTTGATATGTAATTTTCAACAATGAAATGATATGATGTGAAACGTCGGGCGGTAGTTAAAATAAATTTCAAGTAAGTTTAACTAATATATATCGCGTTTGAAACCGTTAAAGTGTTTTATTTAAATGTTGTTTTTAGTTAAAACAATTCAGGAATTTAAACTAGGTATTATTTTATATTGTATTTCGAGTAAAGCCTAAGAAAAAATCAATTAAATAAGAAAGAATTAATAATATCTAGAAAATCGATTATATAGTCTGCTCTGTGGATCAAAAACGAAACACAGGACTTCACTTCCAGGCTCTGTTCAAATTGATTTTTACGTAACGAATTCTCGATTTCATTTCGATTAAATACCTGAACCAATATAACTTCTACGCAAAAAAAGGATCCAGAATATAGTCTATTTCGTATATACGAAAAAGTTTTATCACAAATCAACATAGCCAATGTTTCGAATTAACTAAACTAAATGCTTCCCTAAGTTCAATAGTACAAACATTATATAGCAGCACGAAAATTCCTGACTTTGATTCCTGGAAATTACAATAATTATAAGTTTCTTTAGAACAGGCATGAGAGTCTACCGATCAACGAATATATTATTTGTGTTCGGCTTATGTTTAACGTAAGGAAATTAGTTTTTAAACTCCTAACCATATCTAAATAAAACACTTTTAACGGTTTAAAACGCGTAATACATTAGATAACCTATACAACTACGGCTTAGTTTTACTCTCGCGACCACAGCTACAAAGCATTCGAAACACCGGCCAAAATTTAAAATAAACCAAATAATATATTTCGCGTTTTAAACCTTCAAAGGTGTTTTATTTAAATTCCTACTCGCATGAACTACAGATAACATCTAACCATATTTGAAACTATATAATTTTAGGTTACTTAAATTTTTGTTTCATTGTAATCTTGTCCTAAAAATAAATAAGATTTAGTTTTCTCTAGATTTTATTAGCCACGTCTACTCTAAATTTTATGATTTTCCCTCAAGACAACTAAGATGCTGGTATTTTAGCTAGCTATTTTACGTTGAAGCGAGCTCCAACGAGCTTCATTAGCGTAAGTTATGTCTTTGTTTAGTTGCCATGTAAGTGATATTTCGTATCGTGAAGTTTATTGGATGTATTTTTAACCGACCACGCTGAAGAATAAGGCTAATTTTATCGATCTAAGGATCTCGCAACGCTTACGTTGTATAAATGGTAAATTTAATAGAAATTGGATTTTGAAGTAGACATTACAAAATATCATACTTCAAAATAAAAAAAAAACGACAAATGTATCATAGAGTTTAGTATAAAAATGATTTAAAAACTGTTTCGATGTTCACTGGGAATCAAACCCACGATCTGCAAGTAATTGTGACGTTAATTACTGCCAATGATTTGTCGAAATCATATGTTTTTTTTAATAATGGTCTTAAATATATTATACATATCGACTCGTGCGCATAAAAATGACCAATTTTAATTTTTAAAAATTCAAGCATTACGTACTTTGAAATCCACAGATATTTCCAATCCTTAATACCAACTGCCCAAAGCCCATTTCTATATACCCAAATGCCTCCATCTGTTAACAGATTGAACGAAATTCGGAGTTGACGTAAGTAATCAAATCTTAGCCCGAAGCCATAGTAAAGGTGGTCGGAATACATAAATCAAGTGAACTGTACGTGATCGAATTGAAGATCAACCCAATACAGGATTCCCGACAAGAACTCATTACAATGTAACCAAATTCAATTTACCTTCGCCGCCACATCATAATATTTCATCCCTTCTTATAATATGCCCGCATTCGATTCGTATTCAAATATTTCTTAACACCCACGGCGTAATTATTTACCTGCGTGGTTTGACGGATTTTAACAGGTAAAGCATATATAAACGAGTCTTGGGTTCGATTCCCACAGGCCCAAATATGTCGTCGTCTGGAAATTGGATAAAATGGGTGGAATATCAAATTCCGTCCGGCTCACAACCACCATCCACATAAAAACCGTCTAGTTTAATCGCCCCCCTACAGTCTGTGGATATCTAAATATCCAAAGCCAAATATAAACTCTAACTACTTGCCGTTAACTAAGTTAAATGTCTTACGCGTCATAACCGTAAAAAGTATTTTATTTAAATATAGTTAAGGGTTTAAAAATTAATTTCCGTACGTGATCATGAGCCAGACACAAATATTATATTCGTTGATCAGTAGGTGACTTGTTTTTCATGTTTTATCCTCAGCAAATATATATATGGGTTACAACTATCATATACACTTTTCACAAGTTTTCTGTAGAAGGACATCACTCAGCTGTTGCGGCAACACCAGACAGTGATGTCCCATGGATGATAGTTTAATGTTAATAAAAAAAAAATCGGACACAGAAATGTCTGCTCCACACAAGACGCGACGTAATTATTTAGAATTATTATTAATTATTAGTTTCTCGTGTAAACTTTGCATATTAAGATTCTTCGTTCTTACATTATGAATATTTATGAATTTAAATTATTCAACAATACCCTTGAAAGGTACTCATGTAGAACCAGGCATACGATTTTAATTAAATAGCGTTAAATATTTGTAACGGGCAAACAATATATTTTCCAATCTATACTAATAAATAAAGCTGAAGAGTTTGCTTGTTTGAACGCGCTAATCTCAGGAACTACGGGTTCGGGTAAGGTTTAAATTACTTAAAAAAACTAATATGGGGCAATTTAATGTTACAATCTCTTGATACAAGACAATTTATGATACCTATTTTGTTTTTTTATGGTGAAAATAAATAGTGAAAATGTAAATATTTAGCCGTTCCCTAAACTAAAACTTGTAATAAAACAATACGGAGGTAACCAAAGGATATCTAGGAATTATTTCGACTGAATTTGCATTTCAGCAACAATTAAGAATTTAACTGCCCACAAATGAAGCAATAAACGTACATAATGTCACTAATAACGGCGACATTCCGCCTAATGTTAGAAAGTTTTTCATTCAATTCGTTAGCATAGCTGACCCTTTCGCAATAAATCCTGACCGAAAATAGTTTTATGTCCCGGCTTCCGTTCCATCAACAAAATCGCTGTCGTAATCTGCTTACTTAATTTCCAAATACATTTCTCTTAGCCCATAAATGTCAAGAGGCCAAATAATTCACTGAACTTTCGCTAACTTAGATTTTCTAATGACGACCTCGTGTCATTTGTTAATGTTAAAACCCAATATTAAGAGCCAATATTAAGATAAGTTTGTCTCAATCTATTTATGTCCCGCGATTTGGTAATAGCTCAAGTCTCAGTGGCCGTTGATAAGCATGGTCTAAATGATAACATTGCAAATGATAACATGATGACATGGGGTGATAACATTTCCTACTTTCAAAATACAGCAAGGCAAATTAAGAAGAAACGTAATATTCAATGTTATCCTTATAATATTAGACTGTATGATATGACAATATAATATGTCTATCTTTTAAAATTAACTCGCAAGAACGACGGGACGCGGAAATCATCGTAAGTAACAGATATAATATTTAAAGTTGAGGAGGTATAACAAATAACAAAATAACAAATAAATAATAATTCCACGCGAACGAGTTCGCAGGTACAGCCATTGTTGTATATTCACATCAAGATCTCACAACGCACAAACGAAATAAGGGTTCTGAAAATATGTAGTTATCAAATCCACATTCCCGTTAGCTCTGAGGGTTAAAAAGGAAAACAGTCTCGCTGTACGTGCTTCGTACTAATAATTTCTGTCTTCTCCAGCTCGAATTACTCTAGATTGGCACTTTACAGGCATTTTCGAGACTTCGCAGCGCTCTGAGAATTCCGATAATCAGCTTTACTTAAGGGATTGGGTTCGAAACTCAATTGTATCTGGAGTGATTTTAATAATTCATCACCTCGTCGATACAAGCCACGATCAGACGAAATAAGAATTACTATTCATTCAAATACAATACGACATTCAAAAACTTCGTAAGTTATTTGCACGCCTAATTTATTTCCAAGTACAATTCTGACGCGGTCGTTGGTTCAATGGTAGAAATATAGGTCAAATTAAAAAATAATACGTAGCTACGTAGTTATACTTATGAACGTCATATCAGTTAAAAACTAAAGACTAAATTTACATTTACTACCAGTTCTCAAATCAAGGGCGTAGAACGAACGAGAAAAACTGGCAAGAAACTCGCCGCTACTCCTTTTATGCCTTATAGCTACCGAGTTGTAAACTTGTTTCCTCTAAGCCCACTTACAGCAATTTATAATTATCTGAAACATGTTTCACTTAAATTAAATTATTTTTTAGATTTTAAAATTTTACGACACGGGCGAGACTTGAAGCAACACCCACAGGGTTTTATGCTGTTGCTCAAATCGATTTTTTAAAATTTAAAATCGATTATTTAATTAATATAATGCCATAATATATATATATAAGTAATAACATAAAACATATAAAAGCATGTTTCACCTCATCTAGAAAATCGATACGAAATTGGTGATAGAAATATCAAAATTCGTCCGGGCAACGAACCACTGTCCACAAATGAAAGACCCGAATTTAATTGTGTTTTGGTTTATTTCTCATGAACATGAGAGCCTCTTCTTACTCAGACAAATTTTTTCGCAAAATATTAAATTACAATACTCGAGAATTCGTTCTAAATTACAGTTTCTCTTATTAAATTACGCTTACTTATGATACAAGTCTTAAGTAACTTAACGTTAGAAGTTCATATTAAATATTCATCATCATAATTTTCCATGAAACATGACATTGCGCTGTCGTTATGAAGAAAGTGAAGCTGGGTTACAATCTTTTAAAACTTTAATAACGTAACGAGACCGCTAAACTTTGTATAATATAAGATTTATACAAGATTAACTTATATCCTTTCGTTGTTACAATAACAATTAATTTTATTAATTGATCTTAATAAAATGTTTTTAGATGAATTTCCATTATTAAAGTCGATTCCCATAAAAACAGTTCTTGTTAGCTAATCTTAAAAGATATACATTTAATCGTACTAATCACTAGCGCGTTTAAATAAACGCTTCAGCTTGTTAATATTGGCACAGATTATTATATTACCTATATTTCACAAACAATATTTTTGGCAGCCGTCATATTTATTGTTTGTTATTTATGTAAAATTATGGCCACAAAATGACAGCGTCTCCAAAATTTTGACTAGGTTATTTTTTATTAGACTTCTACCTGCATAGGCAAGTTCCAACTGTATACGCGACTAGCTATGTCAGCGACATCGTCCGCGTAGAATAATTATTATGAGCACCCAAATTTGTTTTTGCAAACCTTCCTCTCATGTTTATCTAGTTCTTGCAATTTAAGCTTAAAAGATAGACATATAGAACCATTCTTTTATATATATTTTTTTGGGTACTTTGAACCGTTTTCGCTGTGTACGCAACGGAAACCCACAAAAATGATTATTGTTCCACATTTCCCGCCATTTATTTGCTTCTATTAGTCACAGCGTGATGTTATATAGCCTATAACTATATTTTTGTGTTAGAGCATTCACTTCGAACAAGTAGTTCCTGAGTCTAACTCGTTGAAAAAAACAAACAAATTGTTTAGCTTTATATATATATATATATATAAACTACAATTTATTTATATAGCTTATTTTATATATATATAGCTGTATAGTAATTCGAAGTCAATTTTTGCTAGGTTATGCGTCATTAGACCTTTACCTACTAGGACAGGTTCTAACGTCATACACGATTAGTTTCAGTTTGCTAAGAAACAGTAATTATTAAACAAATATCGAACTCACTTCCAACGAGCCACAATAAAATGGCGGTAAATTGCGATGCCATTATGTTTGCGTAGACGACAGTCACACGTCAAGTAGCGGGCGCCTGACGACGGCTCCCGCGGGCCGTTCTCGTCTCCGTCATTTTCAAACGTTCCATCCAAATATTGGATTCTTGCTTGTCATACTGCTGTCGAGTTATTGCTTATATGTGCGCTTCGTGACCTGACATGGTGACGTGGGAATCTGCAACAATACAAAGTTTCAAAAGATGTTCATACGTGTATAGTAACTAGCTGTGCCAGCGACTTCCTCCGCGTAGAATAGTTATATTGAGCAACAAATTTCGTTTTGCGAACCTTCACATGTGTATAAATTATATCTGTGGGCTGTAAGGCTGACGTATAATGTCACAGACATTTTTTTTTTGATAATCTAAAGCGGAATCATTACGTTTTCACAGCGCACGTAACGATTCTCAATGAATGCTCTACACAGAACAAAATTTTTAAATTTGAACTAGTAGTTCCTTAGATTAGCGCCTTCATACAAACACATTCTTCAGCCTTATATATTAATATAGATAGTATAGTACCCGACTACAACGACGATTTGAAGCAGCCATGGTCGCGGGAAATCCCCGAAAACTAGTGTCGTCTTAGTTAAAAATAAGTTGACTTATACATTTCCAATTTTAAGCAGTTTAAAGCGTTTTATTAAACGAATAATGTTTTTATACACTTGCGATTTTGGTTTTATTCCCCTACCTCAGAATAAGAACATAAGATGAACAGTTAAATCTGGTCTGTTCCTACTTTTTTAAACTTATTATATAATAACACAGATAGAAGAATAGAAAGGTTACAAAACCAGAAAATTAGAAAATCCACCATGTTATATTAAAAACAGGAATACCGTCCCATCGTGGGGCATGAGGCGAGCACATTTCCGCTTTATTAAATTGATTAGAGTAACATGTCCCATTATATTGTGCCTTAACTATATCTTCAATTGTATCCTTAGTATAAGTTGACTGTTTTTTTTTCTATTATTTTAATTATGCAACTCTATTTAATAATGCACATTACTTAACCACATTTACTAATAGCCAGAAATTTTAAAATACCCAGACTAAGTCCATTTAAAATGAAAACCGTTAATTTCCTTGTTAATTCTCTTACACACTCAAGAGTATAAATTTAATCTGAACCCAGTGCGCAAGTTTGGATTGCTGATATAAATTTCGTGCGAACAAACGTAGCGCTGCCATATCTTTTACCTCCTTTCTGGCAAAGTGCGATTTACAAAGCCCGAATCGAATTTCAACAGTTATTCGTACGTACTTACATTTTTCTTTCAAGTAATGCATTGATATGGCTTTGTACGTTACTTTGTAGGCGTACAGTGTTATTATATCATAAATATTGTCTGTAGTTTACGCGAGTAGTTCACATTTAAATATTTTAACAGTTCAAAACGCGATATATTAGTTAACTTTGGGACACGCACCATCTTCAGTTCCTCCGTGAACAAGGTTTCTGCAAAGCACTTTTTCATATGTTATTGCACATGATGGGATTATTTAATTTTGAATCGATTTTATATTTTAAAAAAATTCGTCGCGACTTGAACCGGCCTTATGAAAAGATTCGACGATGACGTGTAAGAGGCCGTAGCTCAATTGGTTAGACAGCAAGAAACGCTGTGGATGCCCGTTCAATTTCCGCCCGTATCATATTTTTTACAATGAATATTATAAAGCGAATGTCCATTTCAAAATTACTTAATATCCCGCTTAAATTATAACATTATAATTTAAAATGCCATTTGAATTGACAATTTCATCCCCCAAGGAGTGAAACGTCATTATTTCAGTCTGTTTCGACGTGTTTCTAGAAAAATAGAAGATCATTAAAACAGTCGGGAAGTGTATTAGCGTTGTGTCCTCCCGGGATGTCATCCTCATTGTATTTGCCAGATTGAGATTCTTTATTGCAGTCATACTAATATTGGTCATTGCATTTGTAAAGCAAATTGCTGGAAACTTTATTCGCATATTAATTTGTATTAAAGCCTTTTCATACCGACAACAAGAAAGTATACATAAATACTGCCTGTTGCTTACGCGAGAAGTACACATTTAAATAAAACATTTTAACGGTTTCTAATGCGATATATATATTAGTAAAACTTATTTTAACTACGATTCGACGTTTCGTATCTTTGCTGCTGCCGCCTCCCCGTGACCACGGTTAAAGTGTTTTACTTAAAGAAAAAAATGTAAAGAAAGTTATTTACAAACAAAAAACAAAATAAATATTGCTGTTACTTCATTAATTTTTAGTTACTTAAATTTATTTTGTTTAATGTCGCTTGTATTTGTTATTTTTCGAGCTGTTCAGCTTACTACGAATGGTTTTATAATTATTATCTTTTTTTCACCTACAAATTGACCTCAGCTGCATATGTAATGTTTAAATAAATAATTACCTCTAACCTAATTTTGAGACAGCAGAAGGATACAAGAATATTTTATCTATATAAAATGCAAAAATCTGATTAGATAAAGACCTGCGTAGTAATCAAATTTGTAGCCTACCATTGCTTTAAATGTAAAATTGATTGGAGTCCAATCCAGGGAAAAAAATAAATTGTTTAAGTCGAGCAGGGCACAGAAGTCTGACCACATACTTACTAATAAATAAAATTTATCAATGAAACAGACACAGAGTTGTGTTCGCTTTAGGCTGCGCAGGTGGAAACGGAATTTCATATAAGCTGAAAAGAAATAACTATGAATTAGTTACTTATAAAGCGACGCTGTTATTAAACGAAACACAGTAAAAAAACAACCAGTAACGAAACCAATTAAATAACCATTAATCAAAGCGATCTCACAAATGCATTTCGATCGATCAACGTAAAAACTGAATCCGAGCTGTACTCAGCTAACTAAATTGAGATTGAACGGACACAAAAGAACCGCTTAGATCTCATAAAAGATCGAGATGCTGATTATTTATTTAAATCCAGCATTTAAGAGGTTCAAAAAGTACGGACGGGATAGATTAGGGCCCCCCACTTATTGAAAGGGAGGGCGCGGAGCCATTAGTCGTCGCGCCTGAAAAAGTGTCGCTCGCTCGAGACATTGCGCGGGGTTCACTATTCAATTGGCGAATGTATTTTATTCGGAGCCAATCGATCTCGATACAACGAAACGCATTGAATGGAGCCTCACGAGACAATAAATCACTGGATGTCTGCGATATGCTTAATGAAAAGACTTCGGTTTTCTTACGTCGGGAATGTTGCTGATAGAGGTCATGAACATCTAGATTCGGTTTTTAGATCAACGCTTTATCAGAGCTAGTAAATTGTACTGTAATTGTTTGTACTTATTGTACAACATAAACTAAGATTGCTATGTATATGTTACATAATATGCTGAAGTCCAGGAATCTAACGAAACGTGGGATCCTGGATTTCTGGAGAAAGCTTCAGTCCGGTAAGGTTTATGGCCCCAAATATCTGATTTATGTCTTTCACTGAGAAACTAAGATTACTCTGTATTTTTAAATTGTGACCGCCTCTGTAGCCAGATGGTTAAACTTTCTGGGTTCGAATTCCAGGGGAACAAAAAAAAAGTTGTTCCGTTCGGGTAAGGCACAGAAGTCCGATCAATTACTTGCCCGTTAAAATGGACGAATCATAAACGGACATAGAAATGTGTTCGCCCTACACCCGGAAACTAACAAATCAAACACTTTAACGTTTTTAAAGGCGATATATTTTAGTTTTTTTTTTTATGTGCACAACTCTCGTAAACTACAGACAGTATTTACTGTTTATTTTTACAGTGAAACACATAAGGTATTACAACTGCCAATTTGTACCAAATTTCTTATTAGCAAAAACCATTTAAAGACATAAGTAACTTATAAAAACCCCTATAGAGAAAATATTTGTCTTTGAAATATTAAAACAATTTCTTTAAAATTAATTAAAATCACAATGCAACGCATGTATTCATAATATCCTTTCCCTATACTTTGAAACATCAAACAGAGACCTGAACAACGAACAACGATCATAAATAAATACTCGCTTCAAATAAAACTACATTGTGTAAAACACCGAACTTTCGCTAACAAATGATTGTTAGAAACAGCTCTGTGAAACAAAGTTCCAAACGAGATAATTACACTGTACTACACATTACCTGTAGTTGACAGTTTTTCAGGAATAATTAAATTTAACATGAAAAGTAAATGCCAACTTATATTGCTTTTATATTATATTTAAATGAATCAAACGCTAAATCAACACTGCAATAGTGCATAAAAAGATTAAATGATGACAGATCGCCACAGTACCTTTGTGGACGGGACCAAAAGGAAAACGGATCGTGGGAGACCACGATGGAGCGACGACAAACAGCCAAAAACTGCCCAAAACCAATCATGAACAAATTTGGAGGAGGCCTACGCTCTAAAGGGTTCTCATGACCTAATATTTTATAGCTCTTTGAAAACAAAATTAAGTTTAAAAATTAAAGGCTTTTAAATAAAATACTTTAAACGGTTTAAAACGCGAAATATTAGTCAAAAATCATTTTAAAATAAATTTAACTAATATATCGCGTTTTAAAGCGTTAAAGTGTTTTATTTAAATGTGTACTATTTGCGTAAACTATAGACAGTATTTAATTAAAGGCTTTTTTTATGCAAATGCGCTCTGGAATGTATTTAATCCAGCGCTAGAAGTGTATTTCCGATGAATCATGTATGACCAATTCAATGCCAATTCGTTTGTTTTGATTTCCTTGGCGGTCTTTACGATCACCGAATCTCATAGCGCAAACTTTCTCCGAGTACCTAAGCAATTCCATTTTAAGGAACTGGGCAGTAATGTTAACTGATTAGCACTATTATTATTTTTTTCATTTTTTAAATGACGTTTTTGTAAGATGGAGGTTTGTACCTGAATAAAGAATTATTATTATTATTTACGAGTGCATTAAAACTAATTATTTAATGATTTTTTAAAACAATTTATGTCATAACG